AATAGTGCAATATATCTTGGTTTTGATCTCAAATTATCAATAGAAACTGTACTGTTAATAAAATGAAAAAGATATGCACATGAACATCATTAGAAATTGAAGTAAACAATGTGTTATGGAGAAATTAAATACGTTATAACCCAATTTTTAAGAAATTGCAATTTCATATATCCATATATATATTTGGTTTATGAACTAATGAGATTTTGATCATATTGTTGTGATTAAATTGAACTAATGAACATGCTGATATGTTTAAAAGTAGATGTATTAACTCTTTTGCTACTGTTAGATCAAAGTGTGCATGTCACGACCTTTTAGAGAGTTACATTCAAAATTTAATGAAACTACTTTATTATCATTCCATACAAATAAACTTGGAATTAAAACATAGTTGATAAATCAAATGTTGATATTATATAAGTTCTTAGTTTTATTAAGAAATATTTAAAAAAATTTTCAATCTCTGCTAGTATGAGGATTGTGACATTTGTTATCTAGGTCTTCCCTTTTCTATAAATTATTTACCAAGCCTCTCAGAAGTACATAATTCAACATAAATTACTCATTATAATATAGATATTACTAAGGCAAAGCATAATTGTTATAGCCTTCAATCGTATTTGTTTATGAAGCCATAAACTAGAAAATCAGACCCATTTGCCACACCCACCTGTCACATCCTCTCTATAATATTTTATACTATATTATTTACAAGCAAAAGTAAAAAGTACTTATCTCCAGTGATAGGAAAAGTTTAAGTTAATTTATCAATTTAAATTATTTCATGGACTTTAAAAAGGTTAATTGTGTTGCACTGTTGGTTTCACTCAGAGCCAAAGTTCTGAGTTACTTATACTGCTTACAGCAAAAAGTAATTGTTGAGCATTTCGGTCATGCTAAGAGCCACTCAACAATAACATACCGTAAATCTACATTTTTATACTTTAAGTTGCATCACATTTTGAAATGTGAATGATAGTGTGATTAATTCCTAACAACTTAGTGTAGAATATCCTGCTTGCAGAATAAAATTTGGCATCAACGTTATTCCTGCCTGTTCTCCCATCATTTCAAAAATAAATGTTGAGCTTTGCCTGCTTGTGCAACTTTTCAAACACTTTAAGCTACACATTTGTCATGTGATTTACAATTTGAATGGTGGGATTGTTAGAGTTGGGTCAAAGGGCAATAAAACAATTAAATTTAAGTATAAACAGATATACACTGTTACAAGCTTTAAGCTATTCAAGATAAGCAACTGTAGTTTCCTGTTACAATTTTCAGTCATTCTAGAAAGAAATAAGGGTAATTTAGATTTATTTCATATTTTTTTATGATGGCCACAAGGTTGGTCAAATTTACTGAATGCTTATAGAGTTAGGGTAGAGAAAATAACAGAAAAAATATAAAGTTTTAATGAAAAGAACATTTGATTTTTGTTTAGGAGGTTTTAGAGATTATGTAAATGAAATTTGACAATTTCCAGAAGAGAAAAGTATTTGTAATCTTAACATGAAAATCACTTAGGCACTTGGAGCCGTCAACACTTTGACTTGATATATTCACAGATGAAATTTTCGTAAAAATACTTCATTAGTAAAAGCAGATTTTTTATGTAACATTTACCAAAAGACTGCCAAATTTTTATTACATTCCTTCATAGAGTGCATTCTCTGAGATCCATAAGGCATTTGTGTGCTCTCCCTTCACACTTTGTATATTTTGTGGTATAGACAATTTAATATTTTTTGTTTTGGTGTAAGGTCATGGCACAATCTATGAATGTAGTTAACATTACCTTACGTCAAATATAATAAATGCTCAATAACAGCAATAATTGGGGTAGAGGGAGTTGTGACCTTCCCCCCCCCCCCCCTATTAACCTGACCCTTGTTTTAAACTATCATCACACAAAGTTTGGTTGAGGTTGGCCCAGAGACTTAGGAGTAGTTAGATAATGGACAGACACACACGGATGTTTGTGCTTTATAGATATAATATTTATTATGTTCTTAAAAATTCAGAGTAAAATACTTCTACTGTGCCTACTCCTAACTTCTTTCCAATCTGGCTCCTTTAAAAAATAGTTTAAGATACCTGAACTACATGAATATGTACCTTAAATGTATGCTGGATATTTATCAGAAACCATTGACTGTTGTGAAAAAAATTACTTGTTAGTACAAAGTTTTATATTTAACACTTTTCTACAAAGGTATTGTGTGGTCAGATTATTAACACTCATAGAAAGTATGACAGAACAACTCACCATTGGAAATTTTCTTTCATCACCAGAAGATACTATTTGTAATATGTAACATTATAGTAAACTTATACACAGATTTAGTTATCACACACTAACTTCTCATATGGAAACTACAATTTTTACTATTTAGTTTTATTATTCAAGGGGCTGTTAATAGCTATTAGTAATAAGCAAATTGGAGATCTTCCAAACCTATCTGAACAGATGAAAAAAAAAGATTTTACAGCTAAGTCTAATGAAGGCATTTACCCATAATATGTCAAGGAATATGAATGAAATATCTGGAAAGTCCTTCTTTGCTTTTATTCAGTACTTCAGCCATGAGTCAATGCTTGTCATTATCAGGACATACTAGTACCTTATAGTAATACTGGAATGTAGCTTCACTATACAAAGTTTTATATTTTGCTGAGTACTACTTGAGAATGATTTCCTTGACATAATAAAACTGTATAGATTATAAACAATATTTCTGTACACTTTCAATAGGAGTTCTTCAGACTTAATTGTTTACTGCAGTTTGTGCATTCAGGAAATATCTTCTTATTCTTACTGCATAATTTCAATAAACAAAAACTTGCTACATTTTACAATTATTTTGGTGTATAATTATTAAAATAGTGGTGTGAAATACTTGAGCTAGCAAAGTATTGAGGTTTTTAAAGCTTAACAAACGTGATAAATCATCCTGAGTAGTAATTTGTGGCAGGCAGAAGGTAAATCTGAAATGCTATCTTAACACACTGCTGTTTAAAATTCTTTAAAAGTACTTTATTAAAAGAAATTAGAAGAAACAATGTGCAGCCAAGGATGATTTCATTATTTTTTAGGTCTTAAAATTATTCATGTCCTTTTACATGAGGGTATGCATCAATGAGAGGTCAGGCTTAGCTATTTCACTCATTTATAAGAGCTGTATTGGATTTATAAATTTGTTTGTAAATTAAATTTTCACTTTCTATAAAGATTACTGAGATGTATGTGTATGTTTATTTTGATATTTTCCAGGTGAAAAATGTAAAAGCCTAATGGCCACAAACAAGATATAATTTCATGTTACAGTTATCTATTGAGCTCAGGACATAGAATTTAATTCAACTAGGTTAGCAGGATTGTCTGTTTAAATTAGAATTCACATTGTACTCATCCCTTTTGGAGTGAAACTAGATCAGTGTATGCACTTCATGTCAAAGGCAATGCTAGTCTTCCCATAATTTATACAGAATAGTTTGGAGATAACGTCTGACTAATATAGCAGTGAGTTACTTCTATATCCATCAGTTTCTTATAGGTATAAATGTTTCTTATGGAAGTGTATCTATCTTCACATTTCCAAAAATATTGGTAAGGAAGATTAAACTGTCAAGTAATATCATCACAGTGGAGGTGCTATTTTGTAGTTAGCAAAAAAAAACCTTTTCAGCACCTAATAAAACTCTGTATACTGGGAACAATTTGGTGTGTAAAACTTTTGTGCATCCCTACAGACAAAAAGAAATTTCAAAATATCTTTTCTAGGTTCCAGCAGATGATGGTTAGATTTCCCTGAGGTTAGAGGAAACTTGCTGAATGGTATCTTAGTGTTATAAATTATTGATTGCTTCAATTTGAATAAATAAAAGAAGACTTTTTAAAACTTAAAGTGTATAAACATTTAACCAACTACTCAAAACATGTGTCTAATAACGTTCAACATTTCACTAGCAGAAGAAAGTTACAAAGTGGGTGGCATCTGTCACCGTTAGACAGATGAGGATCAATCAGACATTCAAGACAAGTTCTCAGAAACCATTTAATTTGCTACGAAAAGCCAACACAATCTATAGCTATGTTCAGGAAATGCAAATGAGATCTTAAAACATTGCTGAAAGACAAGTTAGGTCTCAATAGTACAATTCATTATACTACTTGAATTGATCAACCTTACTACAAAAAACATCAATTTTTTTAAATCATGTATGAGAAAGGGACTAGCAGCCAGTCACATACTCATTTTACAGATGATAAATTATGAGTTATGTCATTAAAAATTAAGAATTTGGCAAATAGTTCCTTAATTGAAAATTGTTTTTAGAATATACAAAGAAACAACCAGAAACACAATTGTTTAAATACAACTTAAATATATAAAACATATGTTTGAAAGTTTTCATGTGATTTTTACTTGCTTGTGGGTCTATAATGCATTATATTTTCTAAGATTGTACATATATTTTAATGTGAATAGGTTTAAAATATTGCATTATAATATATGAAATAATATAAATAGCTTAATCTGAATTAACCTTGAATTATTTGGTCCAATCATCTTTTAACTCATCTGTAAATCAGCTTCTGCAAACTGTTCATTTGAAAGAAAGTGTAAATGACTTCAGAATGATTTATTGATTTGTAGTTCATGTTCTGTAAAAACAATTATATAAAACTGACATTTGTTCATCTTCTTAGAAGGTTGAAACCATGAACAGTATTATTGTACATGTAAACAAACATCTGAAACTTTTAAAACGTGAGAGATATTTTTTTTATTTTTACTGAGTGAGATGCTGCTGTTCAAGGTAAAGGAACATATTTTTCCTTGAATTAAAAGTGATTCAGAAGATCTCTTAACAGTTTTAGCAGAGATATGGTAAAAAAAAACGTAATTAATATGGCTTTCGTACTTTAATTGTGTTAGGTTATTGTTTTTTACTATTTATTTTGCTCATTCAAATTCTATACTGTCTTTCAGGGGTTTGGTTTCTTGGTTCCTTCTTCCCAGAAGTCCAATGTTTTAGGAATTATATTTGATTCCTGTTGTTTTCCTGAACATGATGGAAAGTACAGCCATAAAACCCGGATCACTGTAATTATAATAGGTTTTATGTTTTTATTTCATCATTACAATTTAATTTTTAATCAGCATTTTTTAAGAGAACTAAATTTTTAAATGTAAATTGTATGTATAATACTTTTAGTTAAGATGTCATGCATCTTTCATTAAAATATTTTATGCACAAAAATGGTAAATTTCAGTTTCAATTTTTATGACATAAAAATTTATAAAATGTTTCCTGACACACATTTTTTAAAACTTTTGTAAGTCTAAATGAGAATATTGAAAAAATAAGCTTCTAAAAAAAAATAATAATTTCATCATAATTTTCTTCTAGTATTTTAGTTTAGCTTGTACTCTGATATAGAAAACAGTTTACGACTATGTTTTTTCCTATAATTTTATTACTGGTGAGCTTGTTTTTATCGTTACCAATTTATAAATTGACTGGTCTATTAGTATGAAACTTAGGATTAAGATTCTGGGATCAATCATACCATTCTATCATTGCAACGTATTAGTGTATGGCCAATCATTTTTGATGATTTTTAAAATTTTCAGGATACACATAATCTGGAATGGACTTTCCAAATTAGATTTTTTTGGTACAGTGAAGATCTATCAAAAACATAAAAAAACATTAGTTAGTTTCTTAGAAAAGAGCAGAAACTCACCATTTTGAATTCATGTTGAGTAAGTTTATTAAAATTAGATAAAATCTAATTCTTATCTTAAAATAACTAGTTTAACCATAACAAATGATTATGTACGTTGTAATGTAGTGCAATTGTTAAACACATGGCTATATATATATAGGAAAGAAAGTGAATTGTGTCATAGTCCATTGTTCATGGTTCCCATGGGTTCTGGAAAAGTGTGGGCATATATAATTATACTTTCCTGGGTCTGGAAAGGCCCTTGAATTTCATTTCAATGCTAAAAACCTGAAATATGAAATAAAAATTGTAGCAGATACAAACAAATAATGGACAAATGAGAGGAGGTATATGATGTGTTTTTTAGTGTTTCATCAGCCCTCCTCGCATCTTTATTAACTGTCATTAAATTGGTGAGTAAGCATGTAGAAGATTAAACATACTGTTGGTGTGAATGTGCTTTGTAGTCACTATACACTGTATCAATGGCCACTATTCAATTCTTCACATTATCATATCAACAATAAATAAACTTAGTGTTCCAAAACTCGTTTAATCTTGAAGTCTAAGTTCAAAGGAGGTTCAGTTCAATCTACACTTTCATCAATGTGTATTATTGGGTTAAAATTATTTTTTTGGGGGGGGGGGATAATCCATGTTATATGATTTTTTTGTCCTAATAGTCAGCACTTGTTTTAGTTGAACATTTTTTCTTATTTTTGATTGTTTTATTGTGATGTATTTAAAATACTTTTGTTGATTTTGTTCTCTTGCTTTTTGCAACAGGAAATAAAAATTAAGAAAAGGGAATGTACTGAGCATGAGTGACTTGATTCCAGAATCTGTTGGATAGTTCCAGCAAAAATTTTATAGTTAATAATTAATTGACAATTTTCTTCAACTTTTAACTACTAACAATATCATTCACTGCCAGACTTGGTATCACGAACCATCAGCTCCATAAAATACAAATCCTGTCAGCAACAATTTCTGGTAATCAGTGAATGTCTGGTTGGTTTAAACCTTTGACTAATATTAAACCTTCCCAACCTGTCTTTCTGCCATTTATTTTATTTTTTTAAGCTATAGGAAAACTGCAATAATGTATTTTAAAATACACATTATTTATTTTAATTTTTAAATTAAGGTGCTATGAACCACTTTTTTAATCATCACCAACTAATTTTTCCTTCTTAAAGTTTTTTAAACTACTGTTGTGTCTTTTGTTGATTTTATAAACTCTGTAGAAAAACTGACTTACTTTCTATGTATTATTAGTAATTATGTTGGTTAGTTTGAGGCCTTCATCGCACCTTTGATATACAATTTATGATGGTCTCATGAAAGGAAGAAACAGAAGAATCTTTAGAAGACATACTGGATTGTCAAAATAACATAAGTACTTAAAGTTCAAATAAAAAGTTAAATTATAAGCTATTGTCTTTTTCTTTATATTAACTTAACTGTTAGTCATGCAATATTAGTTAAGTGTTTAATTTAGTTACTGATAAGCTTTTATACCTCTCTTGTCGGATTGGTAACTTTGCACGACCTTGAAAATCATGAAACTTTACATACTCTTTATCTTCAGTAAATTTGGCAAGCTTAGTCAGCATTACAAGTCTATTGTACACAGAAAATCACAGTTTTTAATAAAGGAATCATAGCAAAGATTTGTCTCAATTTTCGAAACCTTTACTGAGTCAATCTGAGTGTAAGGTGATTTTTATGCTAAGAATAAAAATACTTCTTTTCATCTTACAATTTTCATATTTCTTTTAACTAACCTCTTGAACCTCCTAAATGAATATGAAAAGTTTTTTTAAGATTTTATGTTATTTTCTCTACCCTAACACTAACTGTAGCTAAATCATAAGTGTGCAATAAAATGAAATTTTGATAATTATAAAATAAAATGAACTTTTATTTTTGAGGACATAATTTTTAGGGATTTTTTATTCCAATATGGTAAATTACCTCCGCTCACATAAGTAGCTATCCTTGTTCAGTACTGCTCTCTATATGAAAAGTTTTTTACACGTGCCACAAGCTTTGAGGTTCAACGTGGTTCAACTGCGTCTTGCATGTAAATCATCATGTGACAAGCCTCCACCAATAGGAGTGCAACACACCCTCCTGATGCATGTGATTGCCTCTTTTCAATTCTACAGAACTATCACTTTTCGTTTGGCAGTGCTATCGTCAAGATGTTTTCTGTTTTGTGCTGTCTTCCCATGTTTTTTTTTACCTTCCTACAAAGGACTGAGGATGCCCATGGTCGACGTTCCTAGTTTCATCCCTTGTTGCGCTGTCTTAAGTTTGTTCACCAAGTGATAGCTTGTCTACTGACTAAATCAGAAGAATATATTGACAGCATCAATACTCTTCAAACCCTATATAAACATAGGTTAACTGTGATGAGGAAGAGGCTACTAAAAACACCAGACATATGTACTTAGAAAATCTCAATGTATTGGTAACATTCAATGTTAGTGGTATCTTTTCTTTGCACACAATGTTCTTTAATACAGCCACATACCTGGAAATTGGCTAAGTTTATCTAAGGACTACAACTCATACCCATTTCACTATCATTTTCCCTTGAAACACTTTGATTATCAAATACACATGATAGCCTTGCAGTTGTTTTCTTTTATGCATTTTACTAATGTGTATTTTTCTAGTTGTCATAGCATGTTCAAAGTCTTTAGATATATGTTTAGTAATCTGATCATTCAGGGGTTATAATTGTGCTTTAATATTATCCCGATCTTTGTTAATTTGTACAATATATATTTTTAATGTATCTTTTTTTATGGATATATACATAGCCTTGTCACAACCTTAATCAACAGTAACATAATGTACCATTGCTCTTTTATGGAAAGTAACAAATTAATCATGTAATAAGTGCTCAAAGGTCATTTTAAGCATACTGTTCTGTTTTCTTTATTCATATTTGGTATTGGATTTTATTTTTATCATGATCTTGTTTCTAAGAGTCTGGTCTCGGTTATAAATGGTATCAAATAGTCAATTATAGATAAAAATTTCCATCCTGTTATCATTTTCTTTGTTTTCTATAACTTGTGGTTTCAGCATGTTGTAGATAATTTACAAAATATCTATACCTAATATTTTGCCTTTTAGCTTTAGAACATTTTAGTGTATTTAACCTTGTCTGTTGCTATGTAATGACAATTTTGTTTTTATTGTTGACTGTGTAAGTCATTCAATTCAGCAACTTCTGAATAAGTGACATTTTCATTACTTTTCTTTTTATTTCCCACCAAATTGTTTAGTTTCCATATTTTCAAACATGATAATTTTCCACAAAATTAATACAACATTATGTATACTAGAATCATTATTAAGCATAATGTTACTAGTACCAACTTTGTCAGTCTCCATAAATTATTCAAGTATTTACCTTGTGATTCCTGTTTGTTCATATATTGCGTAAATTATTTAATTATTAATCCTGACCTTTGGTGGTGTAAATACTATACTTCTTAATATGTTTTTAAGTTTTAGAAATTCTAAATGTAACTGTGCTTTTTTAGATAGTTTTTTCTTTCTTTATTATTAAAAATTCATTTAAGTTCAGTGTCCTTATACTTAATTATGAAATTGTATATTTAGTCTTATTTCTAAAATTCAGGGATAAACTTGTACCTTTTTATTGTGATGGACAGTTGTTAATTAACTTTAACTAACCACTCTCCTCTAATATAACAGTCTTGGTTTGATAATCAAATGAATGTACATTTGACTTTGAACGTACAATAGATAATGCCAGTTCCCCTTTAACATTAAATAACTTAACAGCAGGAGTTGATAAGGGTTTTAGCATCTGGTTTTGCTTTTCATTTTCATTCCATTCTAGAGTCATGTGAGTAACGTTTTTTCTTAATGCTCATTACACTAGTGCTGAAGATCTCCACTTGAATGCAGCCAGAAGAACTGATTTCAGTTAGTAGCATAATTGTGGGTAATACATGGTGCTTCCCTGGTAATTTTGTTATGCAAAGTCTTTTGCCTTTTCAGTTTCAAACTTGCTTTATTTATGCATTAAATACTATTCTCAGATTCTTGGCCACATACTTAAAATTACAACCAACCATCAAAACACTGTTGATGTAGACCAGGCATCTCTATCATTGCAGTCCCTCAATGTAAGGTCCATTAATCCTTCCAAAGTGGTGGACATATTAAACAGGTCAAATAACATGATAGAGTTCATTCAAGCCATCACTAATGCTAAAGCAGTCTTAGGTCTGCTCTCATCATCTAGCTTGACTTGCCCGTATCCTGATGATATATCTAAGGTGTTGAACTAATGGGAACTTAATAGTGCATCCAAATATTCATCTT